GCACAAGCACACCCAGTAATGAGAAGTGTGTCAGTAGGGATCTTTGGTTAAACAAGACGTGAAGCAGGGCTTGCTAGCTTTCCCTTGCTATTCATTTACATTTTGGGTTTGCACAAAATTAACTGCAACATAATCACTACAAAAAGTGGGACACATGATCATGCTGCTTGATCAGCCTGAAAAGATCAACTGTGTAAGTTAGAGACCTGTTCAGTCACTTCTCTAGAAAATGTTACTGACACCATCCTGATCTCAATAATTCTACCATAAATGTCATTAATATTTGTCCAAGTAGGTGAGCAATGAGATTCTATGGTCGTGGGAACTAGGATGATGCACATGAAAATCACCCTTTAAGCAACTGTCACATGGTGTTTACGTCTTCTCTCTATTGGACTGATTCTGAATCAAGCAACTGCCAAGACTCTTTATTCATATCTGGTTTTAATTTGAAGCTTTACTTAATAAAATTGAGGATGAGCAGATAGTTAGATTTATTCCAAAACTGGATAAATATTTATTACCAGAAGTCTTTAGATAGGATTTTGACCTGCTTTTCAGAAATGAGAAGTTGGTAAAATCTAGCTATCCAACCCCTTCTGTGCAACCTGGAAGTTTCTTCCTTTCTTCCTCTGACACGTCACAAAACTGCTCTGTCCAATGTGTAGAGATATGCTGTAAAATTCTGGTAGAGTTCATTTAAAGCAACCCCAGATTTTCTACACAAGTCTCAGATTCTCCCACTTCATCTGTAGTTTAATAAGTCGCAGTCTCTTGCCAGTTTTTTAAATGCTGTTGCAGCTTTCTGCTCCCACACTGTGACACTTCATTTTTGTTTGATAAAACTCTTCCCCTGGGAGACTTTCCTTCATTCCAGCTGAGCATCTGAGTATCAGCCTGAGCATTAAGCCTGTGCTGCTCTTACAAAATTGTCAACAGTTTTAATAAATGAGGGTGGTTTTTTTCTTTCTCAAGCCGTTGACATAGGACCATGTTACTGATACCAGCAAGTAGAGACCTTTCTGAAGTTTTACATGGGATGGGAGCCCTCATAGTGACTCACACCCTAACAGTGCTGGGTCCCCACCCTGTAAGATAAGCAGTAACACTTGTTGATGCCGAGAGGGAGGCAGTCACGCATGCAGCTCTAAACAGGCACGTGTACATGGTGCAGACCACTACACTTGCCTCTGGAAATCAATCTCAAGTTGCATGAAACTATGCAACCACTGGAGCTGGGCATCTGGCCCACAGGAGCTTAGGATGTAAGTAACCACCATCGGTGCTGGTCAGGGAGAGTTGCAACTCCACAGGTCAAATCTCTCCCAGCTACACAGACACACGACTTGGAGCAGCTTCAGTAAAGTCCAAAGTCAATGCTTTGAGTCAGGTGGACACTATGCATCATTGTCTAACTTTGCATGTGGATAATTGCATTTCTTTTCTATCTATATTTAATGTGTTAATATCTAATCATATATGACGCTTAGTCTATCCTGAAGCAAAGTGTGTGTTCTGTGTCACAAACTATTAAGCGAGAAATTTCTGTGGCAACTGAAGGGTGATAATTTCTTTTGTTTCCTTCCCAATGCTAAAGACTAGATTAAATAAACTCTGCCTAATGTCTTAATTTGAGGGAAACCTGCAGAATAATTAATATAAGATCACAAGGCATCTTCTGAAGGAATCTGTGGTAACAGAGCCATCTGGACATTTTATTTGATGTAGTCTTATATATGCATTCCTGTTAGGCAAGGAAGCAGAGCTATTAAATTGAATTACAAAGGGTAATGCCAGAACTGAATGCTGCAGAGGGAGACTTGCCCTTCCTCCCCTTTCATAATATACAGTCTGTCTCCTTACAAGTACAGCAAAAAGAATATGTGTTAAGAAAACTAGGTTTCTTCAAATGAATTAGATTATTATCCACAAGTCTCTAGGCATTTTCATGCACAAGAGAGTAAACTACAACTCCATCTCTCATTTTACCTGAGAACATTCTTTTTTACCTTCTCTTTCACTTTCTGTCATTTGATTAAAAGCTCTTATGCTTCCTGGGGTCCGCTGCCTGGGGGAGGGCCTGCTGGGGTGTCCTGGTTTGAGATAAAACAGAACCAATTTTGGTCAGTAACTTCGCTTCTTAGCTGGGCCTCTCTAACTGAAATTAACAGCATATTGTGCAGACAATGTTCACTCTCTCAGGGTGATAAGACCTATGTTTATAGCTGATGCCCAGCCATGGTATGCAGATAGGACCTTGCTTATACTTATTGCTATAACACCCAAGGCCAACCAACTTTGTTAAGGAGAGCATCTGTCGGTCCCATCTGGGGTCCTCCAGGTCCCCAGTAGCCGATTTGGCCTAAACCACGACATGGGGGAAGGGTCTGGGGCAGCAGTGAGCATGCCCTGAGGCCAGGGCAGTGTAGGAAAGGCTGGCTACACACCCTACCAGACTGTCTCCACACCACTCTTGTGTTTTCAGGAATGCAGAGCTCTTTTCACCATTGCAATTCTCATCCTGGTCTCTTTACAGGGGAATTTTTCTAAGATGGCAAATAGGTGCCTTGTTCTGTGTCCCTCGTACTTCCTTTTGAGCACAATTAATTATCATAGACTCATAGAATGGTTTAGGTTGGAAGGGACCTTGAAGATCATCTAGTTCCACGCTCCCTGCCATGGGCAGGGACACCTTCCAGAGGTGCTCCAGACCTCCAATCATCTTCGTGGCCCCCCTCTGGAGCCGCTCCAACAGGTCCACATCTTTCCTATGTTGGGGGCAAATTATTTTCATTAATTAATATTACAGTTTGCTCAGAAGGGACAGCTCTTCTGGTTTTTGGACTAATTACCTGTTGACCCGGAAGCTCGGACAGATACACCACGACCATGATGATCAGGGTAAATGCCACTTTATTGCACAGATAGCTCAGCTAATATAGACAATTTTCTCCTGCGCCACGCAACACTCAAGCAATAATTGGTTACATGCATAGTTCAAACAAGCATCTCTACTATATGA